TGTGCTGCCTCCAGTGTGGACCTTACCTCAACTGTCAGTTTACAATCAGATGTTGCTCTGATGTTGTCCAAACTCAGGCCTCTGGGCTGTCTAACACCTAAGCATCTAAGCATGACCAGGTTTGGACACCACAAGAGAAACTGATGGTTTAGTTGCAGTTGTACATAGGAGTAAGCCTGTTGGGACTTTTGGACAGAAATTCATAGGATTGTGCTATGATAAGCACAACTTGTCACAATTCATTGTTAGCTTTTAGCTTGGCACAGAATTTTTGTGTGTGCAAATTTAAGCAAATTTAAAATTATATCCTCATCCTTTGAGAACAGTGGGATAGAAAATGTTTACTATTGGGTATATGATGTGCTTTCTCTCTAGATTTTCACAAGATGTTTTCCAAAAGTATTACATATAAGAAGAAACATTATTATTGTATATTTTTCCATTTATATGAATAGTCTAAACAAAGTAACATGGAAAAATGAGTTGATGTATTTGATATTGTCTACCAATGTATTTTTATTTTAAACAGTTTTGAAAACTTGGGAAGCTGTCATCCAATTTCCTGAAATAGCTCAGTAAATCTTCCTAAGTGTTGGTCCAGTTTTCTTTCAGCAAAAGAGAAAGGATGATGTTTGAGCATTTTCTTGACATTTTCCAGCCCAGTCTTATCACTTGAAAGTCCCATTGATGTTAGTGGGAAAATTAGGCACATACTTGGTGCCTTCCCACTAAAACAATATGATACAGAAAGTGCTTAACATTAGGTGGAGGACACCATCATTTTCTTTAATTGATCAGTCTAACACTGTCCTTGTCTTCAAAGCACATTTTACCACAACAAGATACATAGCGTCACATTTGTACAAATCTTCTCTTTTCCTTTTTATTAAGAAAAAGAAATCTATTAATTACAATTGTAAATTGGCAAAACTGACCCAGATATTATTAGAAGTCTTCCCGGAGTGTTTGCATTAGGTTCTTTGTACTGGATCAGGTATTTTAAAGTTTGGAAATACTGTTGATTAAAATGACTCTTTTTTTCCAAGACAATATCCACTTTTGAAGAATTTATTCAAAATCTGGAGATTAGGTTAGATAGTGAATGAAGATCCTACAAAGAAATAGTTTTGTGTATTGATGCCTTCAGAAATATTATTTGATGACAATAAAATGTCCCCTGAAATTCCCTCCTGAGTGAAGAAAATAGAGTTTGTTTGCAGTAATTGCATTTCCAGTCATTTACGCTCTCACTTTCCAATATAAGTTAAGCCAATTGAAACCTATGATTTGGTTTTGCTTAGCAGAAAAAGTACCATGTAAATTGATCTGTGATGCATTTCTAGAAAAGGCTTTGAAAGTTTTGAAATTGAGATGGTTTTTTCTTATTAGATTTAGATAGTCTGAAGATTCTTTTCTATATTTTAGACTAATGTAATATTAACCAAAAATGTTCTTTTTCAATTTGGTGTTAATGGAATTCAAGACACCATTTCTGTTTAGGCCCACTGGAAGTGCAGTGTTTAATATGCAATATAAATGGTTTAATAGTAGAACCATTTAAAATTACACTAAAAAACCTCTAGTACAGTTTGCAAGTTCTAATATTTTAAACTTTCTAAATACACATCATATAATGAATATAAGAAGAGCCATGCTGGATCAGATCAAGGGTCATCTAGTGCAACATATGTTCACACAGTAGCCAATGGAAAACAGATAATTGGTATAAAAACTGACAGTTCTGGGGGTGTGGTGCGCACCTGAAGCCCCTGTATATTCAGTTTTCTCTATTCACTTCCATGGAAGGCACCTTTTTTTATGTACCTTTTCCTGTTGTGAATGGAGAAACTTTTATTTACCCCCATTTGGGTAAATATAGAAAATTTCACCTTTTCTGTTTTTATGTTCCCTTATATGGTCCAGTGAATGGCAATTGAATGGCCCTATACATGGCATTATATGGTGGTCTGACATCATGCCTATCTTTTAAAAACAGGATAGACACTAATGCAAGTGGGAAGGAGATTTTAACATTCCTCCAAGCCCCTGTGATGTCCTAACAAGAACCGTTCCTCTGAAGTAGCTACTTACATTGGAAAGGACATTCACATTGGTGCTAGGCTAGCTATTTTTTGTGATCCAAAGAGCAGAATGCTTGAAATCATATCATTTGTCCCTCAGACAGCAGTATTACAGGGTTAATGATGTCACAGTGTCAGAGGCTCACCCTCCAGTGTAACTTTTAAGCCATTACCCACCATTGCCATCAGTGTCTTTCTGTTGTGTACATTGAACCAGCAGATCATAGCCTCTACAGAAGAATGAATAGGCGCACATCCAACTTTGGTAATGGTAGCATTGAAAAACCAATGAGAAAACATTTGAATTGCACAGGCTATACTGGTGCTGATGCAAGTCAGCCTACGTAAACCAAAGAAACTCGGAGGTAATCACATTTAAAATGACAGAGCTAGAATTCAGCACCAGCATTTAGGTTTTACTGTAGTTGTTCAATTAGCACAGCTAATCCAACTTCGTTAATGGTAGCATTGAGAAACCAATGAAAAAACATTTGAATTGCACAGGCTATACTGGTGCTGATGCCAGTCAGCCTGCGTAAACCAAAGAAACTCAGGGAGGTAATCACATTTAAAATGACAGAGCTAGAATTCAGCACCTGCATTTAGGTTTTACTGTAGTTGTTCAATTAGCACAGCTAAACTAGGAAATACTGTGCTATCAGCGATTGATGATGTCCATGATCACAGTGATTGTATATATTTTAGCTTGAAAGAGAAAGGTAACATACTGTATCTGTTCTATTACATTGCCTTTTAGACCTCCCCATCATATTGCATATATTCCACCACCCCCCGCCCACCCCAGTACATATATATCTGCTGAGTGAGGACAGCATTTCATACATCTGATAAATGTGGCCTTCAGTCCACAAAACCTTATGCTATAATAAATCTAGTGTGGTAATGAAAATGCAAGAGCTTCTGTGGTTTTCTGATCTTGAATGTAATGGATACAAAAGAAGCTGGCAGTGCTGGCTCCCTATACTTATTGATTTATTTCATTTCTATAGCACCATAACCAAGGCTCTTTGGGTGGTTTAAACAACATACAACACAAAACAATAAATATAGTACAAATAACATAAAACAACAATGTTAAAATAAGTTAAAATTACTATTAAATAGCTTGAAATATAGTAAAAAATACAAGAAAGAGACCCACAAGAAGAATTACTAGGATAACCCCCTTAAGACCCTGAATAAACCAAGGAGATCTTTAAAGGCCTCTGCATAGAAGGCAGCCTTACACTGAAAAGATGACAAATTTCATGCCAGTTGGGTTGCAGCAGGTAGATTATTCCAAAGATGGGAGGCTACCACAGAAAAGGCTCTCCCCGAGTTGCCAGCCTCTCAGCCTCTTGTGGTGTTGGCACTTGAAGGAAGGCCCCAGAGGTTGAGCATAGTGTCTGAGTAAATAGGGGATGGGAGAAGCACTGCCTGAAACCATGCAACTTCATAACCTTTTACTATGCAGTGAATTCTTAATCTTTCTTGTATAGATAGGGAATGACTGTCAAAACTAGTCCTGAGGCCTATCCTAAATGCACTTCTGTGTGTCTCTGTGTGTGTGTGTTGTTCTCATCTGTTTGCAAATTATTGGCCTATTTCAAGTTGCTTTCATTTCATTTGAATTACTTCTTGTGGAAGTCTCAGAATTCAACTGATTATCAAGTTGCATTTAGTATAATTAAGATATATGAAAGATACAGTTAAAATTGTATACAAAAAGAAAAAGAGAAACATAGCAGGTACTTTAGTAATCACATCTGTGTTGACTCTTCTAAGAGATACGACATTTTGTGTGGCATTCACCAAAAATTAATCCAATGTAAATTCTGGATATTTATTTTCATTGTCATTACTTTATCATATATTCAGTCATGACTGTTCTCAAATATGAAAATTTATAATAGTTTATATTTCATTAGCATTTGATTGTATTCAAACATTTCCTTCCTCTGACTGAAGGAATCTTCTTCTAGAGATAAATTCTGCTGGAAGAAGGGGAAACTTTGAATCCAACCCACTACATATTAGAAAAATAATCAATTTTATCCAGTGTATTTAAAAAGAGATAAAAAGATAGTTGAAAAGTGACAGCCATAACCTTAGATATCTTACAGTTATTGGAATAGCATTTTTGTGTCTGTGAATCACTTACTTCCTAAACCTGCAATTCAGTGTATCCTGCAGTGCTCAAGCCCTGGTGACTAAAGTAAGGCTTTTCTGTGAGTAAACATGCATAGGAGTGGGATGTTAAAATTTACTTGAGACGCATGTTTAAAACAAATACTGAGAAGTAGTTTGTAAATTCTAGTGGAAACTTACTGATGGAGTCTCCAAGAGAATCCTGTTAATCATCTTAGCAGCCGTTATACATGCTTAGAAAATCCAAAGACAAACCACGTTAGGATTTTGGAACAGAATAATTTCTTATTTACGCAGTATGTTTGTTTTCCTTTTTGAATATAGTAATCATGGATATTAATCACAAACAGTTACATTAGAATAATGTTATGGTTGAGACATAAATTTGTAGAAGCAAGTAACCCCATCACTAAATTGCTACTGGAATGTCAAATCTGTCCCCTTAAGTGCAATGTATGTAAGCCATTTTCAAGTCTACTATTCCAGTTTGCAATACTTAATTACTCGGATTTATAATAAACCTGCCATTAGGCAGGTAGGTATACTGCTGTAAGCCTGTAGTTTGGGAATGACTTACACTCTGTTCGTTAGGGACCACACAGATCTAGTAACTTCTTCTGGGATTGTGGACTCTAATGGAAATCTTGATGTGCTCTCACCCACTTAGGACTTCAGGCTCAGGTGGGGCTCCATTAGTTTCCCTGCTTTCATGGTTTATGGCTCAACCTTGGCATTATTGTAACGTAGTTTTTTGTGTTTAATGTTTCTTAGACTTGGTTTTCCATTGCCAGCATGGAAGGAACCCTAATGCATGAGTTTCAGAGGAGAAGGTAGCAGTCTGAACCTGCTGTGTGGCTCGATCAGCAAGCGTGAGTATTAACGCTAGAGCTGTCAGGCCTTGTGGAAATTAATGAAGCCTGACAGTTACAGAGTGAAAGGTCACAGGCAGAGCTTGCTCTTACGTAACATTTGTGTTTTGTTGTGTCTAACAACATTTTCAACAAAGGAGAGCTTTTATGTGTGAGCCTTAGATTTATCGCAGGACACCATAGGTCTTGGCCTTCGCTTTTCCCTGTGCTGTAGCCTCGTGTTTTCCTTGCATAAAACCAAAACAGTTCAGCTGTTTGCTCTTCTGCCCGCCTTGATTGATTTTTCGTATGCTTCCAGCCACTATCCAGTCACACAATACTTTTGAAAAAGTATTTTGTGAGCAGTTAAAATAGTGGTGATAATGAGTTTGTTCATCACAAAGATCTGCTCATTAGTTTTGAGGAATACCTGGTGTTTAACATTATGTGTGTTTGTGCTTCTGTGTGTCTGTGTGATAAAAGTGACAATTCACTGTTGTGTTCCTTCCTTTTTTAGGGGGTTGGTGGTTGTGGGTTATATGTGAAAGCTGAGGATTATATTTGGACAGTTTAGGCAATATAGCTACGGTTTTGCTTGTAAAATGGTTTGTGAGATGGTTGTAGATTCATCTTAGACTCAGCTGTCTGTTTCCATAAGGAAATCTGCTCAGAGTTCAGGATTCTGAAAGAAAAGAAGCATGAACAAGCCATTAAAGAGATACATTTTCCACTTCTAGCAGATGTACATACAAACTGCTTGTTGGGCACAGTTCAGCAGGCACAGAAGGAGAAGCCCAATGAACAGAAAGGGAGGATTGCCAAAATGAATGGGAACGATCTCAAGTTTTTGGAATCTGTGAGCACATGAAAGCTTCTATTTGTGCTGAAATTTCTTTCATCTCTTTCCCCCCTTTTTTCTGTTCAGCCCCAGGCACAGTTGCTCTGCTTTTTCTTGTTTTCTTGCTGGGTTGTGGGACATTTTAGGCTAGTTTATGGCCATGATGGCTGGATTTCTTAGATGAAGTGTGTAGGAAGTTAGACAGCATTGGCATATGTGTGAACCAGTCCACAGTTCACACATCATGGTGTTGAATCATAGGTTAATTAACCCATGGTTTGCTGGGAAGTGAGCTGGACTCAAGCTACTTCCACTTATATAAATGATCTCTGATCAGAGGTTGTGAGTGTAGCATATAATCCTGGACAAACAGCATTAGGCCATGCTAGTTCAAACGTGGGAAACATCTAGTCCAGTATTGTGTTCGCAAAGTGACCAAGCAGCTGCCCATGGGAAACCCACAGGAGAGCAGGATTGCATCAGCACTCTCCCACACATGTTCGCTTCCCAGTAACAGTTGTACATAAAAATACTTCCTGGGATACTGATGGCACATAGCCATCAGGACTAGCCACTGATAGTTTTATCCTTCATTAATTTTTCCAGTCCCTCTTAAAGTCATTCAAATCAGTGGCCATCACCACATCTCATGGAAGTGAATTCCACAGTTTCAATGTATGCTATGTGGAAAAGTATATCTTTTTATCTGTCATGAATTTCCCACCAGTCAGCTTCATGGGATGACCCCACTTTCCTACTATAATGACAGAGGGGGAAAAAGTCCCTTTAACCACTTTTTCTGCATCATGCACCATTTTGAACACCTCTGTCCGATCCGCTTTACATTTGCATTGGGTTCAGCAACATAACCCAAGATCTCTTTTTTTGGTCAGTCACTGCTAAGATCCTATTAGTTTATACTGGAAGTTGGCATTATTTTGCTCCAACATCCATCACTTTATATTTTTTCCCTACTGAACCATGTTTTCCCAAGTTGGAGATAACCTCATGGAGCTCGTTTTGTTTGGTGTCATCAACAAACCTGGCCACTTTACTGCTCACTTCTAATTCCAGGTAATTTGTGATTAAGTTGAAAAGCACTGATTCCAATCAGGTATCTGTGGAACCTGACTCTTTAGATCCTTCTGTGGGGAGAATTAACCAATTATTCCTGCTGACTGCTTTCTGCTATTTAACCAGGTACTCATTCATAAAAGGACCTCTTGTTTTATTTCATGACTGCTAGGTTTGCTCGGGAGTTCAGATGAAGCTTACTAGTTGCTAACTCTAGTGAAAACTAATTCCTAACCCTAAAACCCTTTTGGAATTCTTAGTACTCAGTGTGTACTGGATCACATATCCACTAGTTTATCGACACTCTCAGAGAATTCTGGAGGATTAGTGAGACAGGACATACCTTTGCAGAAGTTGTGCCGATTCTTTCACAGCAGGCGTTTCCTTCTACATGCTTACTAAGTTTATTTTTCATAATGGTCTTGACTAATTTATGCAGAACAGACATTAAGCTAACTGACCAGTAATTTCTTGGATTCCTTCTGGATCCCATTTTAAAAGTTGGTGCTATATTGGCTATTCTCCAATTCTTTGGTACAGAAGTTGATCTTAGTAACATACCACATATTTTTGTTGGAAAATTAGCAATTTCATACTTGAGTTTCTAAAGATTCCTAGGGTGAATACTGTCTGGGCCCAGTGATATATCAACTTCAGTTCATGAATACAGCTGTGTGCTTCATCTTTTGTCACCAGTATTTACCTCAGTTCCTGAGACTCTCTTTTTGAAAATGTAAGGGCATAGCTCAGACAAGATCTCTGGTTAATCCCTGGCATCTCTATATAAGGCAGGAAAAACTGCCTGAAACCCTTTAGAGCTGCGGCCAGTCTAGGTAGTAGATGGACAAATGGTCCGTCTCAGTGCAAGGCAGCTTCCTATGTTCCTAACAGTTTAGGCACGGGCATCTTCTTTAGTGAAGACTGATGAAAATAATACATTAAACTTCTGTGCAGTCTCCATATTCTCCTTAGTATCCATTTAACTCCATTGCTGTTGAACGTTCCAGCTCGTTTCCTAGCTGGTTTCCTGCTTCTGATACATTTTAAAGAATTCTTTATTGTTGGTCTTGATGCTGTTAATGATATGCTCCTTGAAGGCTTTTTGCTTCACTTGCTTCCCTGCGTCTCCTTTGTGCAGGCTTACTCTCCATTTTGTTTTCCTAATTTGAGCAAGACTTTAATTTTTGGGAGGAAGTTTTCTTCTCTCTAATAGCTTCCTTGATATTGCTCATTAACCATGCTAGTGGTTCCTTGCATTTGGTTCTGTATTTCCTAACCTGTTGTATACTTTCTTGCTACTTTATGTTAATTGTGTTTTAAATAACCTCCAAGCATTCTGAAGGGATTTAACCCAGCTGTTAATTCAACAGCAAATCATGGGTTAACCACTGGCTTGTTTGGGGCTAAACAAACAACTGACTAAACATTAGTCTGAGTTTGTATGTCAAGCTCACAACCTCCAAACAGGTGTATTGAAGGTTGTTTATGAAACCAGAAGTGGCTCAGTGCTGGTGTGCATTGCAATTAATTGTGGGTTACATAACCTATGATTTGGCACAGTAAGATGCAAACCGGGTCAGCTTGATTTTTTTTTTTTTTAGTGAATAACTGAAGTAACATTTAAGTTAACAATTAAAAAAACTATCTTGGAATGTATTATTGATGAAGTTTTTCACTATTGCACTCTAGGTCCTATAGAGCTAAAAACAGAACAGTTCCCTGCCCCTCTACAATCTAACAAAACATGCCTATGTTCTGGTGTAGTGAAGATATTCAAAAACTCATCAGGGAGGTTTTGTGTATCCCCAGCTCTAAGCTTCATTCCTGATATTGATTGATTGATTGATTGATTGATTTAGAGTATTTGTACGCCATCCCATCGCATAGCCTCGGGATGGCTTACATAAGGTTAAGTTGCCCTCTGAATGGTATGCCACTTGTTTAACTGTTTATGATCTTCTCTTGGTCATTGTGAGACACATGTTTGAAATTTGAGCCTGGTTTCAGCCATTTCAAGGAAAGCCTCACATTTCCACATCTAGAACAGCACTAGGTACAACTGCTCCTATTTGTCCTTTTTGGGAACAGTAGGATGCATGATTCCTATCATGCAGGAAGCTTCAAATAAATTAACATGATGTTAATATTAGGAAATGACCCTTATAACATGCCTAGTACACTCTGATAACATTCTGGCTGGAACTAATCCAAATGAGGAAGCCAGTTATTCCAAATATTATGAGGTCATTAGTGCTGGCAGAGGAGAAATGGCTTAAGTGCTAGTGATCATTGCCAATAAAAAGACATAGGTACAGGTCGTTAGTACAGTGGAACTTCCTCTATGCAACACCTTTGGTGACACCACAATGGAATACTTCAGCTAATGAGGAAGTCTTGTGAAGAAGACTCACCAGCTGCAATGCTAAATACTATTGCAAGTATTTTTTATTAATCTGCAAGCATGAACTTTGTCAGCATGGGTGTTTACTGGTGTTCCACCACTACCACCACACTTACCATTTTTGGCTTCACTGTTATTCAACAGATAAATACAGTTATCATATTTTTAAAATAAGAGACACTTACAAACCTGTCTTAATTGTTAGAAGTACTTGGAACTATGATTACTACCAGTCAGTGATGCCCATATTCTTATATCTTTTATACTTCTGAATGTAATTATTCAGTTTTTCTAAATCTGAATTTTGAAATTAATTCCACTAAAATCAGTGAGACTTAACTTTCAAGAAGACATGTTTAGGGATGAGGACTTCTGGAAAATATTGCATTAGATTCAGATGTAGTCAGACTAGACACACAGGAATTAATTGGACTTCAGTTAATGCTGTAACTGTTACAGTGGATCTGCTCTTAAGAATGGATAAATCTGGATACGACCCTTAGGGGTTTTTTTTTAAGTGTATACAAATCATTCATTTTTTCAGTAGAATTGGCTTGTAAATATATCATAGTAAATTGTAGATATATAGATGTTCATTATAAATATATGTTTGTATTATACCAATTTCCATTTTATTTACTAGTTTTATTTGCTGAACTTTAATTTTTTTTTCCAAATCTACTGTTATAATTATCGCCAGGTATTATA